GCGTCCATACGATAACGTGGATTTTTCGTTCTCATGTTCGTCTTCGCCACCAAAGACATTGTTTTGTGTGGAATGAACTGGGATATTTCTTGGGGTCCCTTAGAAAGTTTTTTTTTTTCGGTTAACAGAGCAATGGAGTTTTTATGTTTTAATCTTTCATATTATTACAATAATTAATTATAAATGCCACGTGCTTATTTTGTTCTCAAATATTGAGTTTCTGAAGATTTCTGACCATTTTCCATGTTTTTTTTTCAAGCTGGCATTGACCAGATAGAACACAATGGATTTAATGAGCAATAATAGGATAAATTCTAGACTTTTCACTGAGGTTGAAAAATTACTAGCCCCAATCGTTAGCGCCACCCCTCCCGCCTAGACGAAATCCTAACTTCGCGCTTGCCAAATAGTAACTTCACAATCTCCTGTCTAGCTATGCAGAAAATTGTCCCGTCCACGAAAAGGTGACATCAATTTCGAGTTTAAAAAATGACTCGAAATTCAGTTATATAATACTACACTGTTTCGTAGGTCATTTATATATAGCCCCACTAAAATATATCACGACTTAGAAGCATGTAAAAACGTGGTTACTCCGAAAGCTGCACTGCCTTGGACAACGGTGAGATTTTCGGTTTATATCTTTACTATTTGTATGGTTCTTGCATGTTACTGACGCCCTGTATATCATGGAATCGCTTCAAAGGATTGCTAAGAGCCCAGGATGCCCTGGAAAGCTTATTCCCAAAGTTTGAGCAAGATTCACCGGAGACTAGGTGTGTGCCCCCTTCTTTGGAAGTTAAAAATATTATCATGGAGCTAAATTAAGAAAATAATGATATACCTTTAAAAAACGCCCTATACACTGAAAACAAAATTTGTCTGACGGCTTGAGTTCGATGTGTACGAGATAGAAGTGTGTATAGACACATATGTTAGAAAGAGATAGAAGCCGGCTCGATAGCGAAGCTCATCACCGCGTTGCCTAGCAGCGCTGACGCGGCATTTTGCCACGTTGCCAATGTGTTACACCAGTTCGTTGAATCAAGATGCATGTTGAAATCATGCGTTAGTTTATTATCTACGCCCAAATAATGGTTTTATTATGAGCATACACATTTTTGAATTGTGTCGAATCTGTTTAGGATCGATTCCAGATCGGTCCTAACGGCGCTCTATTTTAGGTCGAAATGAAAGGTCAGGATCGCCACAAATCTTTCAACACTGCATTGGTTCGCTTGGCAACACCGCATCTCGTACATTCCAAGGCAAGGTTACCACCTCCATTATCATCGATGGGCGATTTCGGTGAGTACCCACCGAGTGCTCATTGGGGAGTGTCGTCTTGCTTCGAAATGGTTTCCACCTGCGTCTCGCAGGCAGTGAGTGATAGTTTGTATTGCGTAATGGTATTTGTTACATTTTACGATCGCTCGCTGTCGCAAAATGTAACAATAACTCAGGATATGTTGATTTTATCACCATCGGTGGAAATCAAAGATGATTCTAAAATAAATTAAAACACTAAGTCGCATCAACATTGGAATAAATAATACTAATCAAAACGAAAACAAAATATTGAATAAAATGTTCTAACAGACCTCCTTCTTGGGTTTGACAGTAACCTAACCTGTTGTAGAAGCCTGTGCGAACACTTTCTGCTTTAACATATTCTACGTCACCGTCGCTAGGCAATGTTCTGATGACACACGCTTCTCTCTCGTACACATTGAACTCAAGCCGTCAGACAAATTTGGTTTTTCCTGTATGTTTTGACAAAGGCTTTCTAAGCATTAAGTAAGTAGGCACACAAGTCTGTAGATCGAGAGTGGGTCAGCTTGCACAGGAACAAGAAACAAGCTTTCCAATGATGTAATACCAGTAATGTCACAAAGCAATTGCATTTCTTTAAATAAGCATATTGACGCAATAAATTGGAGGTAAAAAATTTCGAGATGTAAAGGCTTTGAATTAAACAGAAAGCACAGTTTTAAGTGTTTACATTGTTATTTTTTATTGAACAATAAAGTGCTTAGGATAGGTTTATGTGTGGAATATCACATCGGGCAAATGGCATCCACGGCTTTGCTGGGACATACACAACCCTTTTGTTGAAATTTTTCATGACTTTTCTGCATAATAGTTGCTGAATTTCGTTAGTGCACCGTGTAATGCACGGGTGGTTGTGGGCTTGTTGATATAGATTTTTGACTTTAAACAACCCCATAAGAAGAAATCTAATGGTGTTAAATCACACGATCTAGTGGCTAATTCTGATCACCGAAACGGGTGTGTACACGACCAGGAAATGTCTCATGCAGAAACTGAATTGTTTCACTGGCTGTATGGCATGTGGCACCGTCTTGTTGAAACCACATATTGGATACAAGCATAGCATCCAATTTCAGCAGAAAAAGCTGTGTTGTTTAGCGATATCGAGCACCAGTAACAGTTACTGCTTCACCAGCCTCATTTTCAAAAAAGTATGTTCCAATGATGCCTCCATCCCAAAATCCGCACCAAACAGTGTCACGTTGTGGGTGCATTAATTTGTTTTTTCACAATCACACGTGGTTTCTCCGAACTACGGCAATTTTGGCGGTCAAGGTGAAAATGTGCTTCATCGCTTAGGATGATTTTACTCGAAAAATCATCATCCACTTGTTGTTCAATAATCCATTCCACAAACTCTCTTCGCTGACCGTGGTCATTAGGCTTCAGATGTTGTGTTAATTGAATTTTCTAAACATGGAAGCACAGATCTTTTGTGAGTATACGCTGTAGAGAGCTCCTTTGCAAATCTTGTCCACGTCGCCGAATTGCCGTTCCTAAGTTTTCACCAACACTCACACGCACCCGTTCGATATGGACATTTAAACATCTTGTTTTTGGATGACCAGTGTGTTTAGGGTCTCCAACTGATCCAGTCTCCCTGAATTTTTCAATTAATCTTTTCACAGTTGACGAGGTTAAAACACTACCCCTGGCATATTTTTAAAATATTGTTCAAAAATAAAAATACGCTCTTACTAACCCTAACCTCTCAGCTGTCAAACTATTCTTTTTTCCGAGCTGTCTATAATTTACTGCAAACATGGCGTCAAACTCAAATCTTGCGTCAATTATGGGACACTCTTTATTAATAATAAATTTATAATTTTACTCTCTCGTCACGAATCTTCAAGAGCAATCAATAATATAATTAATGGATTTGAATCTTTCTTAATTCATTTTGCCAATCTTTAGATCAACAAGCAAACAAATGTTCTATTACCTATTTAATCCAGTTATTTCTTGATGGAGGCAGAACATATTTCCAATAATCTTTTTAAAAGCGGTTCTATAGGTGAAATCTGGCAACATCGTCGTGTTTACCGGCTCCCCGACCACCGATCCCAACAAGAAGCGCCTATTGACGACGCTCAGTAACGGCCTGACTGCCATGCGCAATGAAGCGCTTGATCGCCGTCACCGCCAGGTGCGAAACTCGTGCGGTCATCCGATTTTTGCACGAAAAAACTTTACTACCCATAGAAAATCATCGCCAGTTGAGTGAAGTATGCCGGAAACGTGTATAAACATTCAACATGTCCTCAAATGGTGAAGAGAGTTCTTTGACTGCCGCATGGACATCCACGATGAACAACGAAGCGGGAGGCCGAGGAAGTTATGGCAGAGATTGAGCAAATCTTGCTCAAATATTGGCGAATCACGATCCGCACCACGACAATGCGCATCCTCATGTCTCACAACAAACGAAGGACTGAATCGAGTGATTATTTGGCTGGGAAGTTATTGCCCATCTCCTTTTCAAGGAGCAGTGACCAAGTTTCTAAACGGACTGGCGACGGTTTTCCTTGAGGCGGAAGTGAAAAAGTGAATTCAACCTGTAAAAAAATTCGTAGAAAATATGGCGACTATTAGACTAATTAGCTTGAAGATCAACGTTTCCAATGGTGAATTCGTTTTTCAAATAAAACATTCCTTGTGCTTGGAAACATGAGGGAACCTTATTTTTGAGACAACCTCCGTAAATCCTAACATTTAAAGCAAAATTAGAACTTCGTTTCATAAACTAGCGAGCTTTGCAATTTGCATTCATATAATATGTTTACAACCAATTGTTTTAACATTGTGCGCGTCAGACATGCAATATGAATGAATAAAACAATCATTTAATCGTGCAACAACATTATGCTCAAATATACTTACGCATATCACTAATAGTACCGATACACCTAGCGCATTCGAATGAAAATACATTACTCTTTGCAAAAATGATCGATAACCTAGTGTCACTTTCTTTCATTCGTATCAAAGATGCATTGTGATACATATAGATCACTCTGTGCCAAAATAAACATCGTCGCTTCTTTTCGCTTGTCGCTGCCTGTCCAGGCATTTATGGCCCACTGGCCAATAGGAGCATGCAAATTTGAACGTCGAGCGCTGGTGGTTGGTTTGATGAGGGATGAAAAATATAGTCAATTCTTCTAAAGTAGCTGTCAAACTAGCGAAAAAAAAAGGATATATCGGTTGTTAATTAGGTGTAGATTTAATTTAAACTTCTTAATTATCTTTCACCACCACATTTCTTGCTGCTGTGCCTAATCCGCATGTAAATAGACATGTATCTGAGTTATAATTTTTTTAAACACCTGTATCTGGTTTAGACGAATGTATACTGTTGCCTTTGCCTTATAAAATTCATAAAAAATTGTAGAAATTAGACACACACAAATAAAATAAAAAGAAAGTTCTGTAATAACATAAAGTATGCAAAATATAAAATGGATACCCTTCTTTCTTCTGCTTCTTTGTTCGGATTCAGAGAATAACTATTCTGGGTTTCCTAGAACGAAGCCTGCGATGCTATTCGACGACTTCCACGTTTCCGTCGGAGTGAGATGAGGATGAACATATCGGTGAATTATAGTAAAATCTAGATGTAAAAGTCACAGTTAGTTTCATAATTACAATATGTTTAGTATTTTTCATACATTGAGATAAGCTGCAATTACATATAATCTATTAATTCTTTTTTCATACACAAGTTAAGCGTAGCTTTAAAAACAATTTTGGATTTCATATTTTTAAATGTTAACTAGGCGGTCTGGAAGGATTCTATTTTGTGCAACTGATATCGCAACAAACAAACGTAGTATTGTTTTTTCGTAAAAATAGCATTTGATTAGAAAAGCATGCATGAAAAATACTAATTGTTTTAAGACGTGCTTATTGATTGTTATTTGGCGATATAATGAATATTTTACTATGTACAAATGTTTGATTTTATTTTGAGCGTATTCTAGTATCTTTTAACTGTAAGTGTATTCAAATATTTCAGATATAATAATAAAACATTTAATGCTCAACAGTACAGATACCATTTTGAGATCAATAAACACACAGTCTGTGTACCCCATAAAAAAAGAAAAGCGCTTCAAGTAGAGAGAAAAGAAACTAAGATTATGATTAAGATAGATAATAGCAAAAAAGAATATTTATATATTCTTTTTTGCTATTATCTAGCTTAAATGTGAGCTGACAATCGAAATACATTCCCAAATCTTTGAAAGTTTCACATATTCCCAATACAGTCATTTATTTTGTAAGGGTAAGTTAAACATTTGACTGTGGGTGAAGGTTAAAATGCGGCATTTAGAGTTGTTCAAATACAAGGTTGCCAGCTAGAAACAAATGTGTGAAGCTTCAGGTCATCAGCAGACAGAATCTTCTTGCATGGTAATGAACTACAAAGATCGTTGACGTAAGGCAAACAATGGGGGGCCCAAATTGGAACCTTGAGGTACGCCACTACTCGACATGTATTTGTAAGAACTAAACTCATTATAGAACACACATTAAATTCTCAAGTCTAGATGAGACTTGAGAAGATCTACGTAAGTTATGTTGAATCCCATGTATTCAGTTTCTTATATGAGTAGTTGATGGTCAAGTTTGTCGAACGCTTTTTTAAAATCAGTACACCTACAGATTCACATGAATATTGACTGAACGTGGCCATATTAGTAATAGTGGATCTGTGCTTCATAAAGCCATACTGATGCACTGATAGCTGGTCTTCAGTTGACAAGTATATTCGGGAACAGAATATTTATTTCAAAGCGCTTTGCACAGTTATTTAGTATAGTGATCGTCCTATAATTATTTACTAAGGCTCTGTCTTGCGATTTGAAAATTGAGCAGATTTTGGGAACCTTCCATTTATCATGAACGCTGATGAACGTGGAATTAAATTACAAATTGTCAAAAAACGATGGAAGTTGATCTGGCAGTGATGTGAATTTATTGGTATTTTTGAGTTTCTTTGCAGCGTCTGAAATCTCTTTTTCGCTTATTGACTATTATTGACTAGCGCGTTATAGCAATAAGAATATTATTGTTGTTAACATTTTTGGCGGAGAATGCACATTCTGAAAGAAGTCACCAAAAGCATTAACTATCGATACGGGGTCACTTCAGGAATCATATTGCTAGAATATCTTACTAGGAATTCTAAATGTGTTATTCTTGCTGTGCATGAATTACCAAAATGATTCGGGTTCATTAATAAGCTGGTTTTGAACTATATGAATGTGAGTTATAAGCGTGCTTAGTTTTTTGTTTGACGGTGGCTCTAAGCCTATTGAATTCCTGATAATAGGCAATGTTATTGGTAGCCTTGAATCTTTTATGATATTTAACCTTTTCTTTTACTAATGCAATCATTTCATTGGTATACCTTACAGGATACTTATGCTTGAATATTTTATGTCTGTAAATACTGGAAATAAAGTGTTGAAAGCTTGGTTAGGTTCAATCTATTATCTAAGAAATCCCAGTTTGTGCGTGAGGAAATTAACTTTTCTGAAATTGTCACACTTATGCTGAGAGTTGGTGGCAAATTGGTTGACTTCAAAATGAATTTGAATTATGGTTATACTTATAATAATAATAAACGTCTTTGTTCGCCACACAACTGTACAACCAAAACTAACAATTCTAAAAAAAAAATAGCTGAGAGAAGGGCGAAGTGCAGCTGTACAGTGATGCACATCTGTTCTTTCAGTCAACTCCTCATATTTCATATAGCAGAATTTAAAAAAAATATCAATTTATACACAATAGTAGTGAAAGCAAATTATAAATAGTGAAGGTGAGTCGCAAAAAATGAGATTGAATAATGTGTTGAATAGCATCAAAGCTTGACCTCCTAGATGCCAGTGAGACATAAATAAAATGTACTCAAAATCCTGAAGGTGAAACCTCTTTCGTAAAATATCGTTAAACTAACGTACTAGCTAACTGTTGCCATAAGCGATTTCGAGATCAGGTCATAATAACGTGTGAAGTAAATTGATAATTATTATCATTTTACTTACGATGATGGAATTTATTACGACACATCGCTTAACTTGTATCAGTACTATTCCAGTTTCACGATGTTCGAAATTATTAGCGAAAAATCGAAACATCTTCAAAATCAAATAATGAAACTGTGGATTTATCAGTTTTCCTACGGACAGTTTTGTGTACATTCCTATAGTTCATTTTTATACCAGAAGTCAAAGTCAAGCCAGAGACGGGTGATAGGCCAAGTCACAATAGTTATCAGAAAAATATAAAAAAATTTATGTCATGTACTAATCTACATCCTGTGATGATATTTTAGTTCCCATTTTACTAAAAATTTAATTCTTTTCTCAGACGGAGTTAGGGACAGTGTCATTCAACGTAGTGACAGCAAGTCAGATCGTAACGCCACTCTTATAAATTTGTAAATGAATTTATTAAATTACAATAAATGTTTAACTGCCTTCCTTAAGCAGCAATGCAAGCTTGATAATTTCTTAAAAATAATCAGGTTATCAGACGGGCATATCTGCCGTTATTAACAAATTCAGCTCCTTCCATTATTCTGTCCCATAGCGTAGCTAAATTTTCGATTGGCTTTGAGTAATTTTTTTTCACCGCGCCCCAGTAAAAAAAATCGAGTGGATTTGAGTCGGGTGAGCGGGTCGGCTACGAAATTATACCAGACCGCCCTATCCATCTGCTCGGGTATTCCGCATCAAAATATTCTCTTATTTTGATTTTGAAATTATTGTAGTGTACCGAAGTCTTTCCTCGGAGCTTACTTGAGTAAGAAAGAGAGAGTTATTTTACAAAGTGTGAGCGAGACAGTAAACGTGTCATTTTCTTCCAAGCTGAAGCAGCTGGCGTTCGATTTTAGGCAACAATTTACAGAAGCATTGTTTAGCATTACCTAATAAAAATAAAATTGAGAAAATTTTTGTAAATAGTAACGTGCGTAGATTTTTCAGATTTTTTTTTCCTGATAACTATTATGACTTGGCCTATCCCCCGTTTCCGGCTGGACGTCGAATTCTGTGACAAACTGTAAAATGTTGAAGTAAGACACACATTCATACCTGTTCCTGTGCCTTTGCTTTTACATACTCGTATTTTGGCTTCCTGTCTCCTGAGAGACACTAACAAACTTGTAATTTTACGTTTACACTCATCAACCGAAGCTTCTGTTTCTGCAGCTAGCTGTTACCACGCATCATGTTTCTTAATTTTGTCACCATATTCCGTATGTTGCAGATCCCATAGTATATGAGCCCCTTCCCACTTCAGTTGGCCCACTTCAAGATTTGTACCAAAATATGCCTTTATAAACTAAACATGACGAAACTATTTACTTCTAAAACAATGTATTTCCTCAAAAACATTTTAGATACACTCTAGTCGTAAAAAATACATATTTGAAATCACTTAGACCTATAACTAATAGAACATCTGAACAAATAAACAATGTGCGAATAAATGCACGAAGTTAACAAAGCAACAATTGAAAGATTACCATTGTGTAACATCACCTTTATTTTTTATTACGGCTGAAATTCTTTGGGGCATAGTGTTAACCAAGTTTTGGCAAAAATTTGGTGTAAAACAATTCCATATTTCTTGAAGCTTTTGTCTCAGTTCGGTGATTGTACGAGCAGGATGTTGTCGTAGAACCTTTTTCATCTCGTGCCACAAAGTTTCAATAGGTGACAGATCTGGACTTCTAGAAACCCATTTCAAAAGTTGTACATTATTTCCTTCCATCTATTTTATAGCCTTTTTTGAGGTATGGCACGCTGCACCATCTTGCTGAAACACAAAATCTTGGCCGGATGTCAAACATTCTTCCATCACTGGTAAAAGCGATTCTTCTAAAATTGCCAAATATTTGCTTGTATCCACATTTCCATCAATAAAATGAAGTTTTCCTACTCCTTTTGATGACATACTGCCCCAGACCATAATGGATGCTGGAAATTTCACTTCAACTTTAGGGTCTTTACTTCACTTTTTTTTTATAAGAAAACTTACCTTGCAAGTGCTAAATCCCAGTTTGTGGGCCTCTCTATGAGTTGTGAACCTCGAAATTCTCCTTCCAACAGCGTCACTACACAGAGCACTTAATTGTAAATAATTGGCACGCCTGTTTTTCACTATTATTCTTCTTAATGCTCTTCGGTCGGCATTTGTGATATAATATAATATAACATAATTATTCCATAAAAATGGATTATTCACATACAATTTTAGAGCAGTACTATTATTTGTTAACAAGGTACGATTGAAGAAAAAATACATTTTTTAACAAAAAGACAACTGAACTGTTTTTCAGTCATCTCTATACGCCACATGAAACAATCAGAGGAAAAGTATTAGGAATACTACTAGATATTTTAAAAGTGTATGAAAAAATGGCGTCAAGTAGATTGACTCTATACTTCCTATGCATTCGTTGGGGGTTTCAAAGAAAAGAAATTAGTCAAATCGTTTCAAAAGGCGAAATCGAATCGTGATTAGGTACGCTGAATCTTCGACCTCTGCATATAAAACTATGTTGCAACTCTATTATATTTCTGTTTCCATGGCAAATGTAGGGAAAATGTGTGTGACTTATTATGTCTAACAGGTGCATAGAATCACTGAGATCAGCTGTTGAAAAAAGGGACATGATATAACTTTTTTGTGGGACCATGTAATTCATAGTTTTATTGTGCTTGAGCTAAAAGCGTCGAGGCCTGCGATTACTCGAAATTGACATTGCGTTCATCCTAAATAGACAGGATACATTCTATTACTCCGATCGCTGATTTGCAAAATGTAATTGCTGGAT